GGGATGGAGGGGTTGTCATAGGAGGTGAGGTTAAGATCTCTCAAAGTGCTTTCTCTTGAAAAAAGAAGAGTTAGAGGGGATCTGATGGAGGTGTTTAAGAATTTTAAGGGAATTGATAGTGTTGATGCATCACCTTTTTTCATACTTAATGGTGAGAATGGTAGGACTAGAAGACACATAAATTTTGGCAGGGTAGGAGTCATCTTCAGCTTAGGCAGTTTTATTTTTCTAACAAGATATTAGCCTTTGAAATGGGTTGCCTTCAGATGTCATGGAGGCAGTAAATTTAAGTGAGTTTAGGAGAAAGCTTGATAATATATGAATAAGATCTGGCTTTGAGGGTTTTTTCTATTTAATTGTTTTAGTTTAGAGAATGGGACAGCCTAGATGGACCAATAGGTCCCTTGTTGTCCCTAAACATTACACTGAGGTAATATTTAATAGTGCTTTACTGTTTCTGTAAACTATGAAAATCTCAATTAAATATTAATTCCTTGTGTAAATCTGTGTCTTGTCTCATTCTTTGTGGTCTAACCTTCCACCTTTTGGGAAACATACATACCCACATACAAGATCTGTGAACCTCCTATTTTTACAAGCCCAGACTTCTGTGCTTTGCCAGAAATCCTTAAAATACCACATAAATTATTTTTACTTAAGACAAATGTAAGCACTTGACATCCAATAGCCCCCAGTGGCATGTCTGCAGACTTACAATGCTAGAAACCTGGTTTTGATACCTGTGGTGGACAGAGCACAGATAGCCCATTGTGCTTAACTACAAACAGACATCCAATATGGCAGAGTAAACTATGGACCACATGATTTTTTGACATCAGTGCAAGGCCTTTATAAACAGAGTGGTGATTATTGACACAAAGTATTTTCATTAACAAGTTTACATTTTGTTCTTTAGGCAAAGCTGCACTATGGGCTATACGTGCTTTGTCTATTGCATGGATCAATCCTTGAATTTTAGCATCATAATCCCTCAAGTTTACCATCGTATAAGTCACACGAGAGAATCAATGAGAAGAAAGTGCATTTCTGTGTTCTTTCAGAGTAATTGTTTTTTCTTCAGAGATTATGTGAGAATTCATATTCCTCATTAAAAAAAAAGAAGGTAGTATTCTGAGATTTGCTGATTTCTTTAAGAATAAATAGGTGGGAACTGCAAGACAGCAATGAGTTCACCAAAAACTGTATTGTGGAGCAGAAGCTTTGCTTTCCCTGACTTTGAACTGAGTCTGAAGCAAAGAAAGAGACTGGACACAAGATTGCACAGCAACAATTTTTATATACACAGCATAATCAAAGTTAAAGTTAAAAAGACAAGAGTTTGAAACACATATCTTCTTGAGAAAAAAGATGTGGAAATTTATTTGAAAGTTCTAAACAGAAAGTGTTTCAACTTTAAATTCTGTTATCTTGTAGTTACGGTAAAGTTCAGCTGAAAGTTGCTAAAAAGTTTAAATGTATGGAAAGTTATTCCATACTGAGAGAACATGGCATTATTCAAGAAAAAAAACACCAGTTACTTCCATGGGGCATAACCTGACTTACATACGAGCTGTCTCGAGTTAAATCCTCTTCAGCATGCAGCTAATAAGCCTTGTAATGTGTAGACTTTATTTTTGAGCCAGTCATACATTATCAGGTATTATTTTCCTTTTTTATTTCTTGTAGACTAAAAGGGGAGACAACTAAACACCTTCAGTTCTTGGGCCACTTTAATCAAAAGTATTTGACTGTCACTCTTATAACACACCCACAGCCCTAAAGTGCAGAGCACAATTTATTATCCTTTGTCAGTAAAAGGATACAAAACATAGAACTTCAGATCCATAGTTTGACATGCTAAGAACTGGGCCACCATTAATAAACCTCCCATTGCTTGAATATTTCAGATATCATTGTTTGTTCTTAACATACATATTCTAAAACAAGTTCAAATGAATGCAAGTCATCAGGCTGTCTTATCATCATAGTTCCTAATATTTTCAGGCTTATACAGTATTTGTTTTTATTGTTTTCAAATCTAAAAGGATACATTTTGATCAGGCAGTTTTAAAAATTTTGTGTAAATGTTATTGTTTTATCATGACATACATGTATGATTACATACACATTATAAGAACAGAGCACAGTTAAGTACTGAAAGATGCTAATCAAATGGTGCCTTCAACTGAGAGCAACTGAAAGAAAGGGTACCTTTAAAGCATAACAGATGCATTTTAAAATTAAAAACAACTACTAATAAAGGTTATTACATTTTAAACACTTAGTTCTTAACACGGAAAAAATATCATTGGTCCCCAAAGATTAAAAGGATTCTTAATTCTTCTGTTGAAATAAGACTTGTTGGGTAAAAAGTGCAATTCCTGGGAAACTCAGATCTCTACCTGATCCTAGAGAATAAGAATGAAAATGGAGAGGATGTGTTAATTTCTAGCATCTATTATACCCTCAATTATAGTACATTTATGTATCTATTCCTTACTACATTGAGATAACACAATCAATTTTTAATTATTTCTTCTGCAACAACTTTACAAAGCTTTACTCTATATTTCCTCTCATGTGTAATATATTTATTGTTGTTATACACACAATTTTCCAACATTTAAGGATGTAATATAAATTCTGTGTCGGCAAAATTGTCTGCTAGTGAATTTCAAGCAATTTGTTGGACAATGAGGTAGAAACATATCCAAGTGTTAAAACTAAGACCCCACAGTGTAATTATCTTAAAAAAGACCCATCTTAGAAAAGGTACTATTTCATATATTTTTATATATCAAAGAACTCTAATAAAACATTCATATGGGAAGAGATCATATAAAATATGAGTACATAAGCAGACTCTTTCACATGATGAAATGAAAAAACAGCACATACACGCATATGAAATGTACATTACAAAATTAGATTTTCCACACTGTTGAATTTTACAGCCTATGACAAACTAGATGACCTTACTGAAGTTTCTTGCACACAGTTCATAACTTTGGAATATCAAAATGACACATATTTTTGTACTTGAGTAGCAGTTCTCGTTTTAATGCTAACTGTTTTCTTAGAGATTCCAGCCTTTTTAACTGTTCTTCTCTACTATATTCAATTCCGGGGAGTTTCTGAATTTGGTCTCTACACTGCTGAAGTTTCTGCTTCAATTCCTGGACTTTCTGGCTGCTGTCATAGTTCTCTCTTTTCTGACTTCCATCGTGAGAATCTCTTTCAATGCTGTGTTGAAAATAATAAAGCAAAAAAAAAAGCTTCACTAGAAAAAACTTTTTATGGCCAGATGATTTTTTGTGTACACAACATATTTACAAGACACTAAGATATTTGTTTTATAATACACCACCTGATAAAAGATAAAATTAGAAGTAAAAACATTTTATTCATTTTACTGTATTGCTATTTTCCACTAACAAAATTAGTGCTTACTTACTTTATTGTGATATAAAATCCATTTAATAACTTTATTTATATACTTATAAACCATCTGATTAGTGTAGAAAGGGAATTTATTTGAAGAGTTGAAATCACTGTTTCTATTATTATTTTGTAGCTGCTGAGAACTTAATCAGTTAGCAAGTTATTTAAATTAGCATTTGGTTAAGTGCAACTAAATATGTGATGTACATCAAACCTTTGGTACAGTTTAATCTGAAGTGGGGAACATTTGGCAATGAGTGATCATTCCATTATAAGGTTTGATGTTTTGCTATATATATTAAAATAAAATACAATTTTAGTTCCTAATTTACAAAATCCAATTTTTAGGCCATGAGATTTTCATTAGTGAATTTGGATCAATCCTTAAAAGGTGACATGGGACAGAATTGGATCATTTTGAAAAAGAAATTCCTTTCAATTCAAGATAGAAATGTTCTTAAAAACATGGAAAAGAATAACAGGGAACAGCAACTGACTTACTAAAGACATAAAGGGGAAAATCTGGAATACGTGTAATAAATAAAAATAAAAGATTAAAAATAGATAAAGCACCAGAAACAGAAAAAAGTTTTCACAAGGGTTTTAAAGGAGTTCACAGATCATATATCTGAACCTAATTCTGTAAGTTTTGGTAGGTCAGTAGACAGTGAGCACGTGGCTAAGGGTTAGAGAGTTGCCAATGTTACTCCTGTTTTTAAAGGAAGTGGTAATATGTCCTGGAAGTTATAGCCAGTTAATCTTACTTCTGCAGTGGGAAAATTAAAGTTAGACTTACTACAAGATATATTTCCTGATTGAGCCTCCTTGTATTCTGCACAAACTACCCAATTACTATAAGAAAAAGAAGTGTACCTGAGAATACCATAGAGGCATTACAGAATGATGTGGATCAATTCATAAGTTGGACATATATTTGGAAAATAACCTTTAATTATAGTGCAAGGTAATGTATATGTGTGTGATAATACTTTAGATCACATGTTTATTATAGATGGAACCTACTCAAAAACATGACTTAAGAAATGGATGTTGACATAGTTGTGAATAAATCAATCAACCCACTAAAGCAGTGCTCTGTTGCTAATGGTAAAGCTATTACAATTTCAGTTTGTATTTACAAACATACTGATTACAGGCCAAAATACATTATTATTATAAAAGTCACCAGTTAGGCCTCACTTGGAATATTGTGTACAGTTATGATCTCCTTGTCTAACAAAGATACTGACTTATTGGAAAAGGTTAAGAGATGGGCTAATAGTTCTAGTGATGGAAGGGTTATGTTATAAGGATAGGTTAAGATCTAACTTATTCTGCAGATAATAGGTTTAAAGGACACAGTTTAAAGATTTGGAAAAGACATATTATGCTTTGTTACTCTAATAGTGATTAGCTTACAGAATAAATTGTCATCAGTACTAGTAGCAGCCAATATTTTATACTATTATAGAAGTTTTAGAGGGAAATTGATGATTTCCTGAAAAAGAAGTTTGTTTTTGTAATATATGTGGCAGTCAAAGTTAACAAAAACCATAATGGGAACAAACTCATCAATGTTATATTTTTAAGCAACACAAATAATAGGGATGGTGAATAGTTGTGATAGTGTATTAATTTAATTATTACCAATGAAAGCTGGCAATGGTACACCAGAAGTAATCAATCTGATTATAGAATATTGGTTCAAAATGGTTCACTGTAATATTATTGAGGAAGTTATGATTAGAATAACAAATATATTTAAGTATTACATCTGAATATTACAAACAAACCAATGGATCTTGTACTACACCATTACATTAAAACTGTGATATTGAAAAAGGTGCTCTACTTTTCTAATGATATTTACAGTTAAAAACATAAAGTTGAAATCTAAAGAGTAAATTTCTAAGGTGTTGCTGTAATTGGCAAGTTTTGATTTATAAAAAAAAATTGTTCATGTATACATAATTACATGTATCCTAATTATCTGCGCAGAAGATGCGTCTTCAATTGTACATATTTTCATGCAAAGTAATAGACTTATTGAAAGTTTTTCTAATATATATGGTTTAATATTTCATTAATATTACATAATACTATAATCAACCTGGGATGTAAAACCTGCTGAATATTTTTTCATATTATTTTCTTGTACGTATTGTTTGACCATCGTAACAGTAATACTATTAGTATAACAATAACTAATACCAATAAAAACACAACATACTATTTAGTATTACTAGTAGTTGTACTGTAATTTACATCTTATCTAAATAATTATAAGATAACACAACAAATTTCGTGTTAATTGTGTACGGCAAAACCCTTTCCTACCTATTAACACACAAAAACATTTCATTTTCAGTAGTGTAAACATAGTATAGTGGTGAAGCATTACGCAGTTTACAATTTCACATTACTTCTTCTCATAATAATTAAATTATTCAAATATTATTCTAAAAGTTTAAATTACAAATGCAATTAATCAGAAGCTGATACAAAATTACCTTCTTATTATATCATATATTAATGGAAGAAAATCAGTATTAACTTCACCTTCCGACATTTTATTTATTAACGTACCGAAATTTACTGCCGTCTAGGCAGTGATAATAATAATAAATGCAAAAATAATCACAACACCCAGGGAAAGATTATAGCGCCTATTGTTTTGTTATAAAAAATTGTTTTCACAAAACTAAGAAGACAAAAAATATTAATGTAAAGGCAGAAAAATAGAATAAAAAATATTTTAATTCGAAAGAAAAGATATGTATAATTTTTACTCGAAGAGAAAAGAATATTTGTTTTTGAGTAAGCGCCCCTTTGCACAATGGGCTATATGCGCTGTACCAAGGCCGTTTTTTCAGACAGTGTGAAAATTACTGATCGTAATATGACAGTTTTAGTTTACATATCAGGTTATGTGCCTTATACTGCAGGAAACTGTTGGCAGTTTTAACTTTAAATGACGTTTAACTTTTGATAAAGAATTACAAATTTAATGCTCTAATGATGATATATGAAGTCCTATAATCAAGATATATAGAAGTGATTGACGGCGGAGGGTTAAAGGGTTCACAAAGTTTACTGTCCTAGTTAGTGTAATTACATTTCAAGTGTTTCAAACTCTCATTAATAATTTATTTACAGAATAATTTTAAAAATCTAAAAATCAAAGAAAGCTAATGATTCAGTTAGTAATGAAAAAACTAGAAGCAAGCAATCTTGTTTCTGATAATGTTTGTGTGTGTGGCATATCTTTGCAAGTTTTAATTGAGCAATGCGTTAAAATTTTCACAAATATTTTGTTAAATAACTATTGTAACCTAAGAAATGACAGGCTTGATGAAGTAAAAGAGAACATAAAACTAGCAACTTTAGTTAATAAAAAGTAAGCCCTAACTTAAAATACCTCTAGCATATTTAAAAAGCATCATTATTTTATAAGTATGATTATTGTTATGTGTGTTGTTATTGTATCAGAATGTATTTATTAAGAACTTGTAGGCCTTTATATATAATTTTGTGTCAAGCGATCATTAAATAGATTGGATTTTGGACATGTAGGTAAGGTGTTTATAGTTTTCAACACCACATACCCATTTCTCAATTTTGTAATGTGCTAATGTTATAAGTTAAATATTAAAACTTTGCTCGTGTATTTTTACTTAATTAATGTTTTTGGTAGTCGGAAGAACATTTATTTGTATTTTATGACACAATCACGAACAAAATACTTATCATAATTTGTTACTCAGTGTTTCGTAAAATAAAACGCCAGTAATACCTTTTCCTTCCTTAATTTTGTAGTATGTCCATTTTAGAAAATGGCTTAAAATATTCATCGCATTTGGCTATAATTTTAATAAATTATATTCTATTTAACTGAAAAGCTAAGCGCAATAACTTTACGAAATACACAAAATAGACTGCGTGCGAAAGAACTAATACGACCAGAGTCACGTCTCAGACCCTCAGGATCAAGACGACCTTGGCTGTACTCATCACAAGGATCGAATTCTGAATCTTAGCATTGTAAACACTGAAACTTACTGTTGAACCACCGGAACGGTTAACTTGTGTATAACATGTAGGATATAATAAAATACCACTTATGCAGATCATTATGGTTAGTAATAAAAATATATACAGCCCCCAGCAATAGATCATACGTATTGTTCATTATTTACTTGCAATGTTTTGGCCGTAAACTCTTTTTAAAGGTACATTGAACGGTTAATAAAATTATACTTCAAGGCTAATTCTTCGGTATATAATTATATAATGTTAACGTAAACTTTCAAACTCATTTCAGAGCTCTTCTTCGTGAGTTGGTTATTGTTTTATAATAACTCGCAAAAAATACTCATCTCACCAATGTAGTCAACACTAAGTCTGAGGACTTATAACTCTAAAAATCAGGTTTCGATACAAATGGTGGGCACAACACAGATAAACTGTTGTGTAGCGTTTTTCTTAAGAATAAAACTAAAGATAGTAATAGGATTAAACTTAAATTGATAAAATACGTTTTATACAATATTGTTACGACAGCGGGGGTCACGCGGCGCTAGTAACACGTCATATTCTCGAAGGTTCGTGAAGTCTCGAGCTTTTACTAGATATGCGGTAGTCTTGTATA